TGAAAAAACAATGATTTCATTTTTACTGGACCTCACAAATAACAGGATTTCTCTCCCTTTTGGAACCTTGAGATCCTCAGGATCCTAAGTAAATAGGAGAACCTTTTCAAGATGAAAGACTACCTGGGGAGACAGACTGACTCAGTTACCCCAGCTGATGTTAGCAATGGCTGACTTCACAGTTAAATGCTACTACACATGTGAGTGAAATTGGGAACAGCAGAAAAAAATTGCTAAGGCAAGCCACAGAATTGCAAAAAATAATAAGCTGAGGTTGTGTAAGCTTTGGAGTGGTGTGTTGCATAGCAGCAGATAACTGAGAGAGTCTCAAATACACCAGGAATTATCTATCTTAAGAAAAACAATTTTTTTTATTTTCTACAAAATTTTTAAAACGTATATAAGGTGAAAAATTTTATGTATTTCGTATATAGAGATTTAAGAGCATAGTGATACTTCCAACCCTATACTCCCTACTGCCTATAGTTCCACCTTCCTTCCTTTCCTACTTTTTGTTTTAATTTTTACAATGACGTACATTCAGTTTATTTCATAATCACAGGTTTAACCCTCCACTAATTAAAGAACTCAACAAATAGTAAGTAGAAAAAGCACAGTTCCTCAAGAGTACAGACAAATGCAGTAACAATCAAATCTCAAAATGTCATTTTCACTCACATATTGCTTTTATGTACTCTGTATATTAGTTACTAAAAATCAGGGATAATATATGGTATTTGTCTTTTTGGGAATGTTTTATTTCACTAAGCATAACCATTTCCAGTTTCATCCATTTTGTTGCAAAAGACAAGATTTCATTCTTTTTTATGGCTCAGTACCATTCTATAGTATATGTATATCCCACATTTCCTTTATCCCAGTCATCAGTTGATGGGCATCTGAGCTGATCCCATATCGAAGCTATTGTGAATTAAGTTGTAATAAACATGGGGGTATAGATAACTCTTTCATATGATTTCATTTTGTTAGGGTAAATTTCCAGGAATTGGGTTGCTGGGTCAAATGGTAGTTCTATTTTCAGATCTCTGAGGAATCTCCATTCTGTCTTCCATGTTGTAAGACTTTATATTCCCACCAACAGATTAGGGTGCCATTTTCCCACATCCTTACCAGCATTTATACCTTTTTGATATTTGGATGAGAACCATTCTAACTGATGAGAAAAAGCCTCATGTGGATTTGATTTGCATTTCCCTGATGATTACTGATCCTGAGCATTTCATGTGTCTATTGGTCATTTATATTTCATTCTTTGAAAAATGTCTGCTTATATTCTTAACCTATTTCTTAACTGGATTGTTTATTTTGTTGTTAGATTTCTTAAGTTCTATATAGATTCTGGATATTAATCCTTTATCAGTTGTATAGTTTGCAAATACTTTTTTTTTCCATTCTGTAGGTTGCCTCTTCACTTTGTTGAGTGTTTCCTTTGCAGTGCAGATGCTTCTTAGCTTGATGTAATCATATTTGTCTATTTTCAGTTTATGACCTGTGCTTCTGGGATCTTCTCTAAGAAGTCTTTGCCTATGTCAATGTCTTGTAGAGTTTCCTCAATGTTTTCCTTTTGTAATTTGATGGTATCAGATCATAGATTGATTTAGATCCTTGAAACATTTGGAGTAGATTTTTGTAGAAGGCATACGGTGGGGGTATTTTTTCACACTTCTGTGCATGGAGATCCAATTTTCCAGGCACAATTTGTTGAAAACACTGCCAAGTCTACAGGGATTGGTTCTAGTTCTTTTCTCAAAGATTAGCTGTTTGTAAATGTGTGGACTGATTTCTGGTGTTTTTATTGTGCACATTGGTCTACATGTCTATTTTTTTGCCAGTACCAGACTTTGTTTTTGTTGTATAAGATTACTTTAGCTATTCAGGGTCTCTTTTGTTTCCATATGAATTTTAGTATCATTTTTTTCCTAGATCTGCTAAGAATGCTGTTGCCATTTTAATTGGGATTACATTGAATCTGTAAATTGCTTTTGGTAGTATGGACATTTGGATGATGTTGATTATTCCAATCTATGAACATGGAAGATTTTTCAATTTTTTATGTCTTCAATTTCTTTCTTTGGTGGTTTGTAATTTTCGTCATAGAGATCATTGATGTCATTGGTTAAATTTATTTAATGATATTTAATATTTTTGAACTCATTGTGGATGGGACTTATCTTAAAAGTTCTTTCTCAGCCTTGGTATTATCTGAGAATAACAAAGGCTATTAATTTTTCTGTGTTGATTTTACATCCTACCACTTTAGCAAGCTCTGTTATGAGTTCCAATAGTCTCTCAGTGGAGTTTTGGTTCGCCTATATACAGAATAATATCATCTGCAAGTAGGCATAGTTTGATTTCCCCCTTTCCAATTCGTATCTCTTTGAGTTCTTTTTCTTGTCTAATGGCTCTGGTTAAAACTTCTAGGACTATATTTAATAACGATGATGAAAGTGGGCATCCTTATCTAGTTACAGAACTTAGGGGGAATGCTTCCAGCTTTTATCCATTCAAAAGGATGTTGGCTGTGGTTTCTCATAAATTGCCTTCTATATGCAATTTGCTTATGATTTTCATCATGAAAGGATGTCATATTTTATCAGTTGTTTTCTCTACATCTGTTGAAATAATTGCATACTTTTTGTTTTTCAGGTTTTCTTAAATTTTTTGATAGGCAGAGTGGACAGTGAGAGAGAGAGAGACAGAGATAAATGTCTTCCTTTGCCATTGGTTCACCCTCCAATGGCTGCCGTGGCTGGCGCGCTACACTGATCCAAAGCCAGGACCCAGCTGCCCATCCTGGTCTCCCATGCGGTGCAGGGCCCAAGCATTTGGGCCATCCTCCACTGCACTCCTGGGTCACAGCAGAGAGCTGGACCAGAAGAGGAGTAACCGGGACAAAATCCGGCGCCCCGACCGGGACTAGAACCCGGTGTGCCGGCGCCGTAAGGCGGAGGATTACCCTATTGAGCCGCGGCACCAGCCTTCAGTTTGTTAATGTAATGTATCACATTTATTGATTTGTGAATGATGAACCATCCCTGAAACCTGGGATAAATCCCATATTGTCTGGGTGAATGATCTCTCTGATATGCTGTTGGATTCGATTAGCTAATATATCATTGAGGATTTTTGCATCTATGTTTATCAGGGATATTGGTCTATAGTTCTCTTTCTCAGAGCCAGCACCACAGCTCAATAGGCGAATCCTCTGCCTGCAGCACCAGCATACCAGGTTCTAGTCCCGGTCGGGGCGCGGGATTCTGTCCCAGTTGCCCCTCTTCCAGTCCAGCTCTCTGCTATGGCCCGGGAGTGCAGTGGAGGATGGCCCAAGTCTTTCAGTCCTGCACCCCATGGGAGACCAGGAGAAACACTGGGCTCCTGGCTTCGGATCAGCCCAATGCGCTGGTCACAGTGGGCCACCATGGCAGCCATTGGAGTGTGAACCAATGGCAAAGTAAGACCTTTCTCTCTGTCTCTCTCTCTGTCCACTCTGCCTTTCCAAAAAAAAAAAAAAAAAAAAAAAAAAGTTCTCTTTCTCTACTGTATCCTTTTTTTAAAATACTTTTTTAAATTTTTTAATTTTTTTAAAAATTTTTTTGATAGGCAGAGTGGACAGTGAGAGAGAGAGACAGAGAAAAAGGTCTTCTTTTGCTGTTGGTTCACCCACCGGCAGCCAGTTCGCTGCAGCCGGCACACCACACTGATCCAATGGCAGGAGACAGGTACTTATCCTGGTCTGCCGTAGGGTGCAGGGCCCAAGGACTTGGGCCATCCTCCACTGCACTCCCTGGCCACAGCAGAGAGCTGGCCTGGAAGAGGGGCAACCGGGACAGAATCCGGCACCCCGACTGGGACTAGAACGTGGTGTGCTGGCGCCTCTAGGCGGAGGATTTAGCCTATTGAGCCGTGGCACTGGCCCTCTCTACTGTATCTTTTTCAGGTTTAGGAATTAAGGTGATGCAGGATTCATAAAAGGTGTTAGGGAGGATTCCTTCCCTCTAATTATTTTGAATAGCTTGAGAAGAATTGTAACTAATTCTTCTTTATACATCTGCTAGAATTCAGCAAAGAAGCCATCCAGTCATTGGTTTTTCTTTGTTGGGTGGGTCTTTATTGTTGATCAATTTCTGTCGTGGTAATTAGCCAATTTAGATTTTCTATGTTCTCATGACTCAATTTTGGTAGGTTGTGTTTGTCTACGAACCTATCCGTTTTTCTGTTTCCCAATTTGTTGTCATATAGTTCTTTGTAGTAATTTCTGATGATTCTTTTTATTTATGCAGTATCTGTTACATTTTCTTTTTCATCTCCTATTTTATTGACTGGGATCTTCTCCTTCTTTATATTTTTTGTAGTCTTTGACCAAGGTGTAATAGAAGGGAGCTGGATATGAAACAGAGTAGCTATGATCAAAAACACCTCTCCAAATGATTTGCTGTTATCACAGATAGTGGTTTAACTTGCTAGTCCTCAATGCCAATCCCAGAAAAGTATATATGAGTTAAATATGCAGATAATAGTTTTGCCAATGAATAATAATATATCAGTTATAGAAGCAAATCAAATGTAAATGATTGCTGTACGTTTAGCTGTTAAACGTAGAATGTTGATTAAAAATATGTAAAGACTGGGCCGGCGCCGCGGCTCACTAGGCTAATCCTCCGCCTAGCAGCGCCGGCACACCGGGTTCTAGTCCCGGTTGGGGCGCCGGATTCTGTCCCGGTTGCCCCTCTTCCAGGCCAGCTCTCTGCTGTGGCCAGGGAGTGCAGTGGAGGATGGCCCAAGTGCTTGGGCCCTGCACCCCATGGGAGACCAGGATAAGCACCTGGCTCCTGGCTCCTGCCATCAGATCAGCGCCGCGGCGGCCATTGGAGGGTGAACCAACGGCAAAGGAAGACCTTTCTCTCTGTCTCTCTCTCTCACTGTCCACTCTGCCTGTCAAAAAAAAAAAAAAAATGTAAAGACTATAGTCTCAGGGCTTCTCAACTGATGTAGTATTCAATCATTTGCCATTGTGATTCACACATTTTATATTGAAATTTTTAGATAATATATACCTAAAATGATGTTCACTTAATTTTTTTTGAAGATTTATTTTATTTATTTGAAAGACAGAGTTACACAAAGAGTAGAGGCAAAGAGAGTGGCCTTCCATCTGTTAGTTCACTCCTCAAATGGCAACAATGGCCAGAGATAGGCCAGATGAAGCCAGAAGCCAGAGACCAGGAGCTTCTTCTAGATTTCTGATGTGGGTGCAGGGGCTCAAGAACTTGAACCATCCTCTGCTGCTTTCCCAGGTGCATTAGCAGGTAGCTGGATCTGAAGTGCAGCAACTGGGACAAGACTGGCACTCATACAGGATGCTGACATTGTAGGCCAGGGCTTTAACTATCTGTACCACAGAGCCATCCTCTTCAAATTATTTTTAAAGTTTAGAGAAGTATAATTCAAAATAAAAATGAGAATAATATGATTATAAAATACGTAATTTTAAGGGAAATTCTTGAGAATTACTTCATGTAAACTCTCCTTGGTTTATAAGGACCCTAAGTCTTGTATATTATGATAATGAAAGTACGGACTGTTTCATAATTAAAAAAATATTGTTGAGGTCAGCTTTGTGGAGTAGTGGGTTAGGCTGCCACTTGCAGTGCTGGCATCCCATATGGGTGCCAGTTCTAGTCCTGGCTGCTCCACTTCCAATCCAGCTCTCTGCTATGGCCTGCAAAAATAGTAGAAGATGGTCTGGTTCCTTGGGCCCTGCACCTGCATGGGAGACCCAGAAGAAGCTCTGGCTCCTGGCTTTAGATTGGTGCAGTTCCAGCCATTACAGCCATTTGAGGGGTTAGCCAGCGGATGGAAGACCTCTCTCTCTCTCTCTGTATCTCTCTTCCTCTTTCTCTATCTGCCTCTCCTTCTCTCTCTGTGTGACTCTGACTTTCATATAAACAAATTTTTAAAAAATATTGTTTAGTAAAAATAATTGAATCTTTAGAGTAATTACTGGTGTCAATCATTTCTAACTTTACAAGTTTTGTCTTGCGACATAAAATTTACTTACAGGATTCTTTAATAAGGATAAATTTAGATTTCCATAAATTTCAACATTAAACTCTTCTCAATAGTGAATGAAGTGGAATCTATAATTTCAACATAGGGACTTTGGTAAGGTCAACATTATGCATCACAGCCATCATCCACAATAGAGATCAAGTATTTTACTTGAACACCTTGCCTTTTCTGTTTCTGAAACAATAGTTTCCCTCACCTTGCACACTTGAATTGCTTTGTAAAAGTAACATGTTTGTATCTTTTCAGGAAAAGCAAACCTCATGTAGTATCACTAAGAGATATTCTGAAAAATAAAATAAACGTTTAATATAATTGTGTTCCAATTTCTTAAGAACTACCCAATTAAGAGGCATCTGTTGCACCTGTCAAATTTCAATACCACCTTCTAAGTACAAGGTGTGAACCAATCTGTATCTTAATTCCCACCAAGAGTGATGATGCCAGGCTGAAGCTAAAAACTGAATCGCTGAGTAGTTTGTTCTGACTCTTTCAAACTGTAAACAATTAATGCAAATTATTCTCCAGGAGTGATATCATAATGACTACAACTATATAAAGTCATTAAAGAGGTTTTATTTTGAAAACTTTCTTAACGTTCCTGGTAGTTGAAACCAGTCTACATCTTCATAAACTTTGCCTGTTTTGCAAAGGTGTGGAATATGTCAGTGTGGATAGTATTACATTTAGTGTTAGTTAGCTGAGTGCATGACACAAATCCAGAAGCAGGAATAAAATACATGCTGGTCTAAGGACTTTTCATTGCCTCAGCAACTTAGAACAATGGACATAAAATTTAAAAACAAATTTCTACATCTAAATAGTACAGAAAATGATGTCCCATGGCCTAAAATGATAAAATAGTACTCAAGTAGATGAAACATCTTTAGTACATTGTGGCACACCTATACAACATAATGTAATAAGATAATGAAAAAGATTGAATGGGAGCAATGTGCTTTAAATTATTAAATGTTAAAAATACATAATACTAGTTAATAAAAGTTATTACAGGTTACAAAGAAAGGTAACAATTTTTGAAAAGTAAAATAATGATATATTTAGTTTATATAAAAATACATGGTAAACTGTGGAAATGCTGAAGAATAAATATATAAGAATGTGCTGATCTCCAAAAATACTGAAAAAGGGAAATTGGATGTCAAGTTATACAACAGAGTCTTCAAATGGATCTGGAATGTTTATTTCTTAACTTTGATATACAAGCCTTAAGATTACTAATACTTTTATATTTATATAAAGTATTTCATTAAAAATTTAAAATATATCCAATATGGTCACAGAAGTGCCAAAGAATAAGTAACTTAATATAATATTGTCTTAAAAAGACACTGGGCTCCTATAGGCAATTTTCAGGTCTTGATTGGACTCATTTACTGAGAGACAGACATTCAGACATTCTGAGGCCTCACATGTTGGTTTATCCTCAAATGCCTCTAATGGTTAAGAATGGGCCAAGCCAAAGCTGGGACCTGTGAACTCAATCCAGGTCTCCCACAGAAACCCAATTACTTGAGCTATCATTGCTGTCTTACAGGGTCTAGATTAGTAGAAACCTGGAGTGGGGAGCTGGAGCTTGGATTCTAACCAGGGCACTCCACTATAGGACATGGATGGCTCATTGGGCAACTTAACTGATATGCTCATCAATCTCTGCCTAGTTTTGTTGCTCCTGATCTGGATTTTTTTTTTAAAGAAGACAAGTATTCCATACCACTTTTATCCAACATACTGTGGTGAAACAGTGGTGGGATCATACCAATAAATACTTTCATTTGTAAAGACAAAAGATGGAAGTTCTTTTGTAATTACTCATCTAGAAATTCTGATAGTACACTGGGCAGTTATAGCTAGATTGTCTATTCTGGATACTGGGAATATTCTTGGCCCAATACTGATACTATGAAGGTTTTCCCATTATTTCACAGTTTTTAGCTCTGCCTTCTGGAATGTTTTTCCTTTTCTTTCTTTATTTCTTTTTTTTTTTTTTCATCTTATCTTTATTTTAAAGGGCAGAGTTACAGAGAGAGGAGGTGACAGAAAGAGAAGAGAGATGGAGAGAAGAGAGAGAGAGAGAAAGAGAGAGTGAGAGAGATCGATTTTACAGAGAGAGAAAGAGAAGGAAAGACAGAGATTTTCCATCTACTGGCTCACTCTCCAGGCCGAAGCCAGGAGCCAGGAGCTTCTTCTGGGTTTCCCACATGGGTGCAGGGGCCCAAACATTTGGGTCACTCTCTGTTGCTTTCCCAGGCACATTAGCAGGGAGTTGGATCAGAAGTGGAGCACCTAGGACTAGAACAGGCACCCTTTTGGATGTTGGCATCACAGGCAGAGGCTTAAGTGCTATGCCAAAATGCCTACTCCTGTTTTTTCTTTTCTATGAACTCTTTTCCACTTCTCAAAACAACATTCAAGAATACGACTTGTTAAGATAACTCAATTGATTTCTGATCATATATTTAAATTCAGTGTCCTAAAGGCCTATCTACACTTTGAAAAGTCTCAGTTCAGATTAGCCTATAGATTCTTTCACTAAAGAAACTCTCAGAAATGTTGAGTGTTTTCAATATTTGATATAGTCCACTTTAAGTCCCAAAGTCATATTCAATTTTCTGTTATTGTTTTCTTTTGAAATGTACATCTCTTTATAACTTTTGATTCTGATACTTGGGTTATAACAACTTCTTCGGAACCATGACATTCAGTTTCTAAGTCATTTTTGCTCAGGTGAGGGAATATACCATTAACTACTTAATTCTTTCAGAAGTCTTAAAAAATTGATCCATTTTGGGGCTGGTATTCTACCACAGCAGGTAAAGCCACTGGTTGCAATACCAGCAACCCGTATGGGTACCAATTTGGGTCCCAGCTGCTCCACTTCTGATCTATCTCCCTACTAGTATCCTGAGAAAAGCAGTGGAAGACGGGGCAAGTGTTTGGGTCCCTGTCACCTACTTGTGACACCTGGGCAAATCTCCTGGCTCCTGGCTTTGGTCTGGCCCACCCCTGGCTACTGTGACCACCTGAAGAGTGAACCAGTGGATGGAAGAGCTCTCTTTTTGACTTTCCGTCTCTTTCTTTCTCTAACTCTGACTTTCAAATAAGTAAATAAGTCTTTTTAAAAAATGATCCATAGCAATAGTCATGATTTCGCCTTATCCATGGGGTCACGTATAGCACGAAATGCTAGAAATAGAAACAATTCTATATTTCAGCCTAGATTCTAGGCCCTCTCTCCTTCTTTCTATTTGCCTACTTCCAGCACTGTTCTGAGCTCCTCTCTTTACTATAGCATTTTTTCCGGCAACTGCTGTATTTAACTCAACTGCTGTATTTAACTCACTCTCTGTGTCCAAGATAAGACATTTGTTAGTAAGAGTTTTATCAAATGTTTTGCAGCTACAGAATGTTACCATGTTTTACTTTTCTATGGCAACTCCCTTGATAGTGTCAGATCATCTTACTAAGTATTTTCCCTTTACCTACCTCTTGATTCCTGAATTATTGCTAAATATTTTAGTTTTATATGTCATCATCCTGCTCCTGATGCCGCTTTCTGTACCAAATGTATCTTAATAGAGGAATCATCACAAGTCAATAATAGTACTTATTTAGCTGTGTGCTGGTGATTTAGTCTCTGCTCAATTTGGAGTTTGTTGGGTTTCAGACTCACATGCCTGAGGGTGCACTGACTATTGGCTAGACAATGCTGACTCTACCTAGAGTGAGAAGGGCAATTCAGCTATACTCACTTATTCTCTGGCAAGCAAGTCTGAGCTCATGTTTATAGCAATAACAGAGGTGCAAGCTGGAAAGGATTCATGATATCCACATTCCTAATTGACAAAGTGTCATTTTTATTTCTTTTGGCCAGGTCAGGGTCACCATGGGGGAAATTTTAAAAATATATATATAAATTTACTATAAAGTTACTTGGCAAGGTCATGAACTTTGGAATGCTTAAAAATTTTGGTCATTTTTGCATTCTACCACAGATAAAAATTTCTACCACTGAAAGTAATTTCTAGATTTGCCTGACCAAGACCTAACACAGACCATATCTGCAGTACTTTGTATTGTGAAAAACTTTTCCAAATTTAATTAGACACAAGACTATTATACACAAATACTCCTACATAATATTTTATCTTCCTCAAGATGTATTTGCACTTCACAATAGAATCATAACAGCATGGACATGAAATATTTAGTTAGTGATGATTTTAAACACGTATTTGTAGACTAGTTATTTTACCACTCAGAATTTCCTCATGAAAATTAATGATATGGATCTTAAATACAACAGCATTATTTATTGGGGGCATTAACTACTTATTTCAAAACAACCTTCATGTAGAACATGTTCAAACCCTATGTAAAGATTAATCCTTGTATAAAATGATTTTGTGTCATAGAAATGTGTAGTACATTAGAAATGACTGCAAATTATTTGCTCTTTCTTTCATCAAAAGATAATGTAAAATTTTCTGCATTTGAATCTAGCTTGTAGTGACTTACTGGACTGAGAGAATACAGTGGAAAAGACTTGATAGGACTTCCCAGGCTGGGTAATTAGAAGCCTTCTGTATCTACCCAGATACTGTCTTTGGAGCTAGTGAGACCATACTTAGGCAAACTAGTGGATAGTCCCAGTGAGAACAGGCTTCCAGGCATCCTCCTGAAGGCTACAGATGTGTGAGCAGCCACAGCTGACCAACTATACAGCCTCTGCCAGATGAAAACCACCAAGCAACCTCAGCAATGTAATGAAAAAATTGCCTTAGTTCCCATCAAATTCCTGATCCACAAAATCAAGTGATAGAATAAAATTATTATTGCTTTTACCTGCTATTTTGGGCATTATTTATTTTGCAGCAACAGATGATCAGAACAGAATCTGTTTGCAAGAAGTGGGGACCTTTGTCTATTCAAACTTAAAACAAGTGTCACTGAGTTGGTGGCATCAGGTAGAAACTAAAAAAAATTTGAAGAACATTTTTGGATGCTGGAGAGGCCTTGAAATGACTACTAGCATGGAGTTGAAAGATCATATGTGAAACACACAGTGTTTAGAGCAAGAACTTCCTTTTATCTAGTGGTAAAATGTTTCTCAGCTCTTCTCTACAGTTAAATGAAGCAAAGACAGGACAGCTAAGGAGCCATCCATCTCACTGGGGAGAATTCCAGGCAGAACATAGAAATTGTCAGCTGACTTCTCATAGGTCTTTAAGATAAAATAAGAAACAAGAAGTAATTTAGAGATAAGCATTCCATTCTTCCAGAAGATTAAGAGGAAACATAAAGATTCAGAGACATACTAGAGTTTAAATTAGAACAGTCTCTCATTCCCCATTTCTCTGAGCACAATGTTCTCAGAGCAAGACATGTAAAGGAAAAGGCCAATTTCAAAGCAATAAATGGGGTATTTGGTAAAGAAAGCAGGAGCGTGGCTGAAAACCTTCTGTCATCAAGTTCTGAAAAATCTTCGGCTCAAGACGTGTAGACTTTCTCATCTAGGCAACAGGATTTCTATGTTATGTCGAAGCAATCTCCCAGGTGGCCTTGATAGAGAGGGCCTTGTTTCAGTGCAACTTGTGGTGTGATTTCGTTGATATTTTTGTTTGTTGGATTGAGCAGGTTCTAAAAAGGCTTATAAAAATGCACAGTGTTTTTAAGAGAACTATATCAGCTTAAGCTAAATGAGATAGAAAGAGTAAAACAAGAACAAAAAGCAAGCTTTAAGACCTCAAATATCTCTAAATAGGAAGCCATGAAGACAGACTTCATGGTGTTAAATACTGGCTAATTCTTATGTTACAGGAGCAGTGAGTCCAAGATCATACTGCCCCACTTCCTATCCAGCTCTCTGCTGTGGCCTGGGAAAGCAGTGAAAAATGGCCCAAGAGCTTAGGCCTCTGCACCCACATAGGAGACCCAGAAGAGGCTCCTGGCTCCTGGCAGCGGATCAGCTCATATCTGGCTCTTGTGGTCATTTGGGGAGTGAATTGGCAGATGGAAAGCCTCTACCCCTTTCTCTCTGGCTCTACCTCTCTCTGTACCGCTCTCTTTCAAATAAATAAGATAAATATTTTAAAAAAAGACTGTCAAATAAATAAGATAGATATTAAAAAAATACTTCACAGATTCTTCAGATGGTGTGAGTATACCTTAGTTTTTGCAGGAAGGTAAATTATTTGAGTAAGAAGACTTGCGTTAACTCTAGTTATTCAAGGTCCTGCTTGAATAACAGCATGAGAGACATTGAATGAGAACACACACTTGAGTAACGTAAATCTGCACAACCCTGAGAAAGAATAGCAAAATTATTTTAAGCTTTTTTTTAAAAAAAAGATTTATTTTATTTATGTGAAAGTCGGAGTTACATAGAGGTAGGGACAGAGAGAGAGAGAGAGAGAGGTCTTCCATCTGCTGGTTCACACCCCAGATGCCCACAATTGTGGAGCTGAGCCAATCCGAAGCCAGGAGCCAGGAGCTTCTTCTAGGTCTCTCATGTGAGTACATGGGCCCAAGGACTTGGGCCATCTTCCACTGCTTTCCCAGGCCATAGCAAAGAGCTGGGAAAGTGGAGCAGCTGGGACTCAAACTGGCAAACATATGGGATGCTGGTATTGCAGGCTTGGGCTTTAACCCACTGCACCACAGTATCGGACCCTAAGCTGTTATGTTTTTGGTAGATTTTAGGCAGAAATAATAGTTGGAACAGAATTTATGTTTTTTCCAACCTGGACCTGATTATATTCAAAAGTTTGATATTTGAACTTGATCTCAGTGTTACAATGGGATGATATTTTGGGGGTTCTGAGAGGGCACGATGTATATTTTGCAAATGTAAGCAACAAATAATTCATGACCAGATGTTGAACCATGGTATATTAATGATGGCTGCAAATTCTTTACTTCTCAAAATGGTAGTTAGGACCTGATTCCCCAATAGCATGTGGCACAAGTGACAATCTGGGACTGCAAAAATTATAAGTTGATTTTACTCTCCACTTATTTTTCATAGAACAATTTCTATGTTTGTCCAGAGTCAAATCAGTTTGACTAACCCCAGCATATGTAAATAAGGCCAAGTGCTCTTGTGGATAGTTCCAGCTAAACACAGTCTTCCAGTCAATACCACAAAAGCTCCAAAAATGAAAATGCAGGCAGCTTGTACCCTAAGATCAACAAATCTGTCGAGTGAATGCCATCAAATAATGTCATCTAGCACCTCATGGAGTAGAAGAATCTGATGAATTATCAAAATATAGTTGAACTGAATAGAGTTACCCAGAATAATCCTCTAAGTTTTGAGATTTTAGTTAAGTGATAGGCAACTTGTATAGGATGCAAAGCATAAAAAATTCAGTTAATTCAAACCAGACTACATTTGAAGATGGAATAAGATATAGAAACCAGTTCTCAAGGAAATGATAAAATTCTTTACAAAATCCCTTGGATATCTCCATGTTATGGAAAGAACAGAACAACAGGGGTCACAGCCTAAAGAGAGATATTTTTCCTATTTTGAAACAACATTGCATTGTATTGCCTAACCATTTTGGCCTAAACTCTCAACTCTACAAATTTTCTTTAACATAAATCAGCTGAAGATAACTTCCTACGTTTATGTTCTCTTCAGAATCTCAACCATGAGAGTAACATATTCAGAATCTTAATACATATTACATTGCATTACATCTCATGATCAGTACAACCAAGAGCAAGAATACCCTACTCAAAATCCTTCAGACTTAAGCTCTTCATACCACTCCGCAATTAAAACCAACCTTCAACTTTTGGATTTTCTGAGTTCCTCAATTGCTTCTTACATTCCCCAACCAGATAATGAAAAAGAAATAGAACCTGCTGTAAGAAGGATATTACCTGTAAATTTCCCCAGGAGGATTTACTTATGCCCTCTCTGTTCTGCCCTAGAGTTACCAACATTTCAGACCTCTACCACTATAGAACTTACCACATATTATCATAATGATTGGCTTCTATGCCCTTCCTATGTACACGTTGCAGGAGTATATGTGTCAGCGCCTGCAAGAAAAGAGATTATTATATACATTAATGTTTTAACACAGTTTTCTTAATTTTGGAACAAACAGTACAAGTCGGGTTAATGTCTTACTTTTTTTATCCTAGATGAAAATTCTAGGACTTTGGTATGTAATAAATGAAAGGAAATGAATTGAAAGTGTAATTATATTAAAAATAAAGAGGAGAATAACCAAAGAAGTAAAGAACTTTGAGATTTCTGAGCTCTGTGAGGTGAAAGAAGGGGATAGGAGGGTGTGGGTGGAGACCAGGGAGTTCTTTCCAGTCCCTATCCTTCTCCAGGAAAGTTACCTCTATCATTAAACAAACTAAAGACGAAACCAAGCCTGTATTCTGTCTTGAAAAGAAGAAACCAAGAGTGCCCTTCCGTCAGTCAAAATGTAGATATATTAATTAGAAAACATCTATCTTTAATATTAAATTTAAAATTCATAACACTTGGAATGATGTTTCCCTCTAATAATATGAGAATACATAAACACATTAAATATTTGAGATGCTAAATAGTCAAAGAGAAATGAAAACAGTGTTTAATGTAATTTCAGAAGTCAAAGACTAGATTATAAGGAAAACATCCTGAAACACATGTGGAGTTATACCCAGCCTCTGCCATCGGATTGCTCTACACAGCCAGATCACTGCTGATTTTCTTAGTTTGCTTTAGTTAGTACTTCTTTTTGGTGCCTTCTGTTAAAAGCAATGTGCCCTGGTAAAAGCAATGTGATATCATACAATTTTCATTTTAGCTTGGTTATAAAAAAAAAGCATGGAGATTCAGCTGCTGTACATTCAAAATCGACAGTACATGATGTTTCATGCTAAAAAGGCTAATATTGACTGCTAATGCAATGGCAGTTCCACTCTGCATTCAAACTAGTATTAGATCTGGTTTTTGAGTGGAAAGCCAATATAACACCTTACCAGGGAAGGTACTGAATAATCAGTAGACGTCTAATACAAGGCCCATTGAGCCTTTGCTTACAGACAGCTAAGTGTCTTCCAGGGAAATAACTGTCCCTGTGAGACAATCTTCCTGTGAAATTGAAAGCTGCTGTTTGACAAACCTTCCATACAGCTGATATTACAAAAACTACTATCTGGACATTGTTGGCTGCCATTTGGTGTTCTTAAATTCTGAAATGGGTCAAATTTTTCCTAATCTTTGTCTCCATTCAGATATAACTTATTTTCATCAAGTCCACATACAAAAAATAGTTATTGATAAAATTCACATATTTGTCAAAGTAATATGTTTAGCTTATGATTTGAAAACAATAACACATTTTATATAAAACAAATTTTTCAGTGGACTCTGATAGTTTATCATGCAGATTTATCCTAGGGATGTAAGCATCTAAGATGATTTTTACATAATAATAGATTTTGACATTTGGAAGTTGTAGATATTACTTAGCAGATCATGTTTCTTTTATAGCAGCTAACTAATTCTATCATCTTCTCTTCGCCATCTGTCACTTTTTCATAGATTAGTTTTAATGAAGTACAATTTGGGCTTTTGTAAGTTAAAAGCATCCCATTAGTATTTAAGGTAACAATATTTTTGTATCAATGACTAAATAAGGGGTCTTAAAAAAGTTATTGGGAATGTATATTATGAAATAGCCATGTGTGAATTATTTCAAGTTTTTTGCATCAAAATGTTTTAATTTCATATTCCCGTGAACTTTTTGAAGTACTCACATATTTAAAGTATGAAGTGCCTATTTAAAAGCAATGACTGATTATTCTACAAATGTACAGAAATTGCGTTAACTGGAGACATTTCCCCTTCAATTTGTATGAATCCTGCTTCCAAGATAAAGCTTTTGAAATTAATTATTAAATATTTCCTCTGCAATTATTTGCCATGTTTAGTATATTGAAATATGCCATCTTGAGAATTCACCTTCATTTAAGCAAAGTCAATATAAAACTCTGGGCAATTCTTTCATAAGAGATTCATAATTTCCCTTAATAGAAAGCATTGGTACATGATTTGATTAGACAAATTGAATTTGCATACAACTTTCCAGGGCATATCTATTGCATAAAAGAATGCAAACTTTATTTTATTAATGAATCTACTCTAAACCCTTGATAATAGTCATATTTTTATTCTACATTTTTATTCAAATTCCAATTGTTAGGGGAATTCAAGCATTCCAGAAATAGAATATTTTACTTTTCTTTGTTACTATTTTGTTCTTTAGTTGGGAAGTTCACTACTTCATGCTGTTTATTTTTTGTGACCTACTATTATCTGGCAAAACTGACTAGTCAGTGAAGCTTAATAATTTAATAAGAAAGCTATTTCAATTATTAAGAGACAGGTTAACATTCTGATAAATTACAGTTAAGGGCTAGACCATTGAAGAACTGAAGTAGAAGTTTTCTCTGTATTCTGAAGAAGGGCATACTCTAAACAGAAAAGAAAAATGCTTTAGTTTCATCTTAAAGTTATAACATCACGTGGTTGTTAAGGCAATCAAATTGATGCATAGTAGGTTCTCATATATTTAGTGAATAAATGAGTAATTTGAAAATAATTTTCAAGTTTATTTCAACTGAATCCCTTGTGTTTTGTAACTTAACAATCCCCTTCAAATATGAGCTTCTGTTGTCAAGTTAGGTCCTCTAGGTGGATACATTTGTCTTGGGTCAAACTCTCTAGAAAGAGAGCCTCAGTGATTCTTGAGCAGTGACTTTCAAGGAAGTGTTTGAGTGAAACGTTTCTAAGAGTTAGGAATTAGGAAGGGGAAGGCAGCATAGCTAAACAAAGATGTGATTCCAGGTGATTCCTCTTCAGGGTTTTCTGTGATGAGAGACGGTACCATCTCATTGACTCCAGGTGCCTCAGGTGAGGAGAGTGGGTGGGTGATCTCTGGGGCACAGAGCACAGTCTGAGCAGTTCAAGGTGAAGTCACACAAATTTCCCAAGAGAAAGTTGTGGGTATCAACCTTTAACAGCAGCCCCAACAACAATCAGCTAAAAAGAATCTTCGAGAATCCAGGGAAGATGCTAAAAGCATCTGCTGCTACCTGAGAGAAACCCTACACGTACAAGCTTTTTCACAGATGCATCACTCGCTGTGAGAAAACATGGACACAGAGTTCATTGACACAAGAGTGGAAATATAATCTGTGAGATATTCACAAAATGGACTATTACACAAAAGCTAAAATAAACTAACTTTAGAAGTCTGGATGGCTCACAGCAATTCATATTATTTAAAAATAAATACAAGTAAAGTAAACATGAAAATCTTTTTAAGAATGAATACATACCTAAAATATATAGAATTACATACAGATGAGCTAAAATTACATCAAACTATAGCAAGGAACTAGGATATTAAGTATCTTAAGAGCTATTACTTGGATGAGGAGTAGCAGGGGTATAATGTAGCATGGTGGAAAATGTATATATAAATTACCACTGAATGCTGATTTTATATTGAATAACAGGTTCATGATAGTTTTTATATTGAATGATAGGTTCATGATAGTTCATTAGCTTATTAAAACAAATGAATTAAGACAAGTAAGAGAAGTTTGCACATGAAGAAATAAGTATGTAATGAAGTACAATTAAAATTCTGTACATATATAATATTAAGAATATGATTTTCTGATTGTACAATACAGTTTCTGGTTAAGAGATGAGTTAAGGATGATCTTAAGATGTTCACTATGAACTAATGGTAAAATATGGTTGTGCTTCACCTAAATAGGGTAGGTTAAAGGGAAAAAAGCTTCAGAAGTAGATAGTGGGAACAAAGATACTAGTTTTGGACAAGTTAAGTCTGACAACATGGCATATGCAGTTGGATTTAAGATTGAAGTTGAAGTTTGCTGGAGATATTATGTTGAGTTGCTGGTATTACGAACTGCTGTATCAAGCCGGAGAATTTATAAGATCACTTTGCAGTGAGTATATTTGGAAAGTGATGAAATCTAAGAACCGTTGCTCAAGATACTCCAATCATGAAAGGTCAAGAAGGGGATCATACACAAGGGTGGGAGGAGGAATAATGTAAGAAATAAACGGATTTAAGAGAATGATATTCCAGGAATCAGATGAAGAAAGTGTTTTAAGAAAAAGCAAGTTTTCTGTATGAAAAAGCACTTTCTGTATGAAATGCTGCTGAAAAATCTAGAACAAGGAAAAAGAATCAACCTCTGGGTTATCAGCATGGAAGTCATGCATTTCTTTGAACAGACACTTTTGGAGAAGTGTTGTGGTATGATATAGAAAGAACAAGAGTAAAGAGGGAACAACAACTAGAGGAATATCTGGGTGTTTAGGATATATCTACATAGCTACAAGTTTAAGTACTAGAACTCTGGCCTTCAGGATTTGAATCACAGCTGTATTAAATTTGAAATCTGGAAGGCATCATAGAGATGGCTGAATACAATTACATCATTTTATACATGGAATAACTGAAGTCCAGAAAGGTAATAGTAGTTGTGTAAAAACATAAATGTTTATGAGTTAATGAGATAGCCAGGAACAAAATTGAAATTTTTGGAATCTTAACTTAAAGTTATTTGAAATCCAATGACAAAACTCAGCTACTTTATAACTCTATTTTTCGTGGCAACAGTTATAAAAAGCGTTTTGGTTAGCCATCAACAGAAGAAAAATTTTGGTGTTGTACATCATAAAAGATTTATAGAATTATTTCATTTCCAGGATGCTCCATTTGCTATCACTTCAACCTGTTGAAGTCTTGTTCATCATTCTATGTGCAGCTTATCTGTCAGGAAGTAAAGTCCTTTGTTCCTCAAATTATAAAGAGCAAAGCCAAATATAAAAGAATTTGGTTTTATTCATGTTTTGTAATCATGCATAAATTTACATCTTTTATTTTCAGAAATAATTGAGACTTTATAAGTGTATGAGAGCAAATGACTCATAGCTTCTGTGAGAACACAGAGTACTTTTCTCCTACCAGTATTATTTTTCTCTAGCTATAAAA